TTACTAGAGGTTGTAGCTAATAAATATAGCTGGACTGAATTGGCATTGTCTCTTGGAGTTCCTTGGGCTAGGCCTGACATCAATCTTCCCACGCTGTTCTGGCAAGCTAAGAAAATTTTTATCTTCCTGAGCCTGGCCTTCAAAATTCCATTCCATCACATCATCCTAGGTAGATGCTGCCGGTAATAGAGGGATGAAGTGCAGAGGCGTTTGTCTAAAGAAGCAGGGATGTTCTTCAATTAAGAAGGCTTCCAGGGCAGAGAAACAGACAGACACTGAACTACCCATGCAAATGATGGCTCCTTTCCACAGCGGTTGCTGTGCCAACATACCCACATAAGGCCTGCCATAACCATGTGTGGCTACACTACCCTGATTTGCTGGGACATCCTGTTCTCTTAATCAAGTTATCAACAACTCAAGTAGCAAGGCTACCCTGGGGCACAAGAACTTTTGGGTCTAGCCAACTCCACATTCTACACCCGTCAACAAGAGCTTTTGCTGTTCTGAAACTGCAAGTTTGTATGTATATGTGTAGATAGTGGATAATAGATACAGATGATACAGATATATAGATATAGATAAGTTATAGATATAGATTGACCTGGCAGTTCCTTGCAGTCTGCTATCTAAGCACTAATCAGTTACAATTTTTCTTCAAGTGTCTGGACTCAACCAAGGACAGCTAGTGCTGTCACCTATTGTGACCCTCTTCTCCCCTACCACTGGTAGGGTTGCTTCTTTTTCCAAGAGCACTGAGTTGCAGAGTCACATTCAGCAGATGAGTTCACAAAACACATTTGGCCAGGTCTGTTAATTCAAAACTGCCATCAGCTTGCAAAGGAGACCAAGGTTTTATCAGCCCAACAAGTAGACCAGACTAAGAAACCAATGCCATAGAGATCAGGACTACTTTTATTGTAACATCTACAGTAACGGAATCTTGCAAGTCTGAATGTGTTTCCCCCTCCCTCACTTTATCTTTGCGTGAACTAGGGAGGAGCCTGCCTGAGACGTTTTCTCACATTATTTTCTTGGCTGAAGCAAAAGCCCCTCTTATCTGACCCTTGGTAGCCCTTGGTAGCAGCTCTTTCTCCTGTCCTTCAAGGCCATTCCCTCTGCCCTCTACAGGTTTGCACTGTAATATTAACAGCTACATTCCAAACTTGGGCTGGGACAGGGACTGGTGATGGCGGGGGGGAGCTATACAGGGGCTTTTCAAAAGTTATAAAGGGCAAAATGTATTTCCCATTTCTATTGATTGACATAGCCACTCATTTTGCAATCATGAATATTTTGATTTGGGAGCTGAATTGGTGAGAGAAAGCTGGTGCCCTGTTGTATGTGGTTGTATGGTTTTGTACTGTTTTTATATTTTGTTATCGTAAACTGCCTTGTAATAGACAATATTCAAAGACTTGTAATACATAAATAAATAATGAAAAAAGGCATATTTTTAGCTAGCACTCTGGGGCCACAAGAGGAGGTGCTACAGGTTCCCAATGGCTTCCTTTGTCCAAATTTTGCCCCTTGACCTAGTCCTTATATTCGTAAACCATGTTAAACTTCTTTGGTTTTAACCTTGGTTGTTGTTTTTCTAATGGTTTATTTTACTGCATGAACCCAGGTTATTTTCTTAGTTCAATATATCGTGCAAATCTGGAAAATGGGATAATATAGTAGCTAAACATGTATGAACTAATGGCTGAGTTCCAACATCACATTCAGTCATAACATAGTACATTTGCTTTTTGGTTTATCCTTTAAGACTTAGCACAAAGTATCCACCAAGCAAATGTAGTTTGTAAATCATAGTTTATACATCATACAGTATGTTGTGTGGCTCAAAGCCAACTTTGTTTTTTTTCTATAAACGATGGTTAAGCAAAGCACTTTGGAACCCCTTGCCATCTGAAATAAGGAATGCGCCTAGCCTGCCTTTTAAGGAGGATACAGAGTGTTTGGCTGCTGATGGTATAAGGGTTACCTTACATTAATTTTTTAAAAATAATTAATTTATTATTTTTATAAATAACTTAATGTGGCAAACATACCTAATACTCGATCTTCCTCCTATTTTCCCCACAACAACAACCCTGTGAGGTGGGTTGGGCTGAGAGAGAGGGACTGGCCCAAAGTCACCCAGCCGGCTTTCATGCCTAAGGCGGGACTAGAACTCATCGCCTCCTGCTTTCTAGCCAGGTGCCTTCACCACTAGACCAAACTGGCTTAAAACAAATTTAAACAAATTTGCTTAGATCATTGATTTTATTTAGCCTGTTGTTATCTAGTCTGTTTATAAACTTGCTTGAGTCCTCAGAGATAGGCAATCTATAAAAATCTGTACAAATCAATCAATCAATCAATCAATTAATCACTATTTAACATGGAGTATGAACCAACTCATTCTGCTAAGCTGTAACATCTTTTGCTTGGTCTTGGCCTAGTATGTTATGTGATCTCAGCTAGTCTAAATAAACAAACCATGGTTTATGGATTAATATTGTATGCATATCAAACCACTTTGCTTCATTCAACAGACTGTGGCTTTCTACAATGGTATAAGATAGGAAGTTATCATCCTAGTCATGCTGCTACTACTTCATTATATTTCTTCGTTAGAATTTTCCTTCTCCATTGTCCAACCTACAACTAGTAGCAAGGTGGCCGGACTCAATTACAACACCAATGGGTGTACTGTTGGAAGACATGAAGGACCAGGTTGGGGACAGATCATCCATCTATGTGGTCACTAAGAGTCACCACTGATTTGATGCATGTAATCAATCAATAGTCCAGTTGGCTGGGGATGCTGGACACTGAACTCCCACATTGTTGGAAGATTAGCCTATTTTCTTGTCCATATGATCTCCATCAAAGCAGCTAGTACCTGACCTTGGGTGTTAAAGGAGCAATCTTCAGGATGACAGAGTTGGACTCAAATATGAACAAAGAACATGGAATTGGGAACAGCCCCATCATTCAGTCTCCATTTCTTACAGGCAAAGCAAGAATGCATGATCTACCACCAAAGAAACGATGGCAGAACTTTGTGATAAGGAGAAAAGTGGCTTCCAACCCATTTCCCCATTTGACTTCTGCTGATGTTGTACTACTGAGCTGGGCATCTTAGATTAGACTTTTGATTTCAGAAATCCACATGAGAAGTTTGAGACAAGTTGAAACTTGATGCCGTGGGGAAGGTGTAGATTTTGAGGAAATGAGAGAGAAGGCTTCGTGGCAGTTTCGTAAGTAGTCTCCCTCACTTTAATAGTCTTCCAATAACCCCAGGAACTGAGATCAAAGGGTTCAAAAACTCTTGCTCTAACTGAAGTTCAGGTTTGGGAGGTACACCTCCTTCCAGAAATAGAAGCCTGTTCATCTTGTTTGTCAGATTAGATTCCAAAGAACTTTGAAGGCAATCTTCCTGTTTTCCATCACCAGCCTTCCTGCTTAATTCAGACAGATTTAAGACTAGTCAGCATAAACTATTCCGGGAAACCATTCCTTCCCAACTACAGTTATTACTATGAGTTGTAAGGAGCTACAGATTGCCATCCTGTGTATCCAAGTATCTGGCCGAGCCGTAGTTACAACATTTTCAAAGACTGGGGTATCTTTTGCAGCCCCTCTCCTTAAATCGGGGGAAGTTCCGAATCTGGTGCCTTTCAGGTGGGTTCGGACTGTTTCAGAGCACTACAGCCGCTAGGAATTCTGGGAACTGGAATCCCAGGATGACTGGAGGGCACCAGACTCTTTTATGGCGCTTTCAACCTTTTGGCTTTTTCATTAAAAAAAAACAAACCTTCATAGTTACAAAGAAAACCAGGACTGCAATTCCTTCTCCATGGGGAGGCCTTTGAAGACCATCAGGAAACTTAGCGGGTGCAAAATGCAGTGGCCCATGTCCTCACTGGTCAGCTGGGCTACTGCCACATTACGCCATTGCTGCATAAACTGCTCTGCGTGTGTTTCCAAGGTCAGTTCAAGGTCCTCATTGCCACTATTAATGCCTTATTAGGCTCAGGCCCCAGCATGGCAGTTTCCATGGCAGAGAAACAAAGGACAAAACTCGTACTGCAGTGTTGCAATGCAAATTCTGCTCCTCTTGCACGTGGGCTGTTATGGTACCTGGATGTATGTATGGGGCGGAGCTTGTATCACAACATCACAACACCCGTTTGGGCACGCCAAGAAAACCTCCAGATTTAACAAACCTCTCTGCCTGGGTATTTTAAGAGACTGCCCTTCCCATGATTCGCCCTGCCTGATCTTAGCATCTGCTAAGAGTCTCTAGCCACCATGGGTGACACAGCATGGATTCTCGGGGGAGGGAGGGGGAGGCTCACTTCCTATGGGCTCACCCCCCTATTTCATATGATAGAGTTAATTTTTTAACTCTATTTAAATTTTTTTTTTTTTTTGCTCATTTTTACTTCTCTGCTATCTACAAATACACGTAAGTATTCTGCAGGTTAAATACACATAAGTATTATTCAGGTTAAAGGCCTATCTTGTCTGTTCTCTTTCCAGAGTGGGCAGTAAAAGGCCTGGGGAAACTTCCAACTGCTTCCGTCTGCTGACATTCCCAAAGATAGGTATTGAGTTAGACAATGCCAGAGATACTGACAGTAATAAATAGCCGTGAGGAATCACAGGCATATTTCTCAGAGCATATCTAATCCCTCTGAAAGTTTTACAAGTTGTCCGCCATGACTGTCATATTCACAAAGCCCTGCTTCCCATCCCTGTTTAGTCAACTGAATGGGCTGAGTTCACCCATCAGGCTAATCATTACACATTTAAAATAACACAACCCCGGCACCAAAAAGTTGCCTGCCCCTGCCTGGGATTCTTGCCTCTGAAGGCCACTGAGTCTGGAAAGGTTCCTCTTGCTGCTCAAGTCAAGTTCCTGCACTGAAGAAAAAAGGAGGAAGAAGGGAGCATTACCTGGAGCTGATAGAAGTGCCTTCAAGCAGTTTAGTGAGTTGTCCGGTTAGTGGAGTGAAGAAGGCCTCCATGTTGAAGTTGGTCTGGTAAAGCTCACTCAAGCACATCATGGTGCTGACATTGCAACAGAAGACCTTCTTCTGGTTTGTCACCACATATGGGATGAAGGTATAGCTCCCGTTGCTATCCTAGAAGAGGTACAAGCGATATTGGTACAGAAACCGCATCCACCTCCTATTCTTCACTTCTAAAATGCCCCTTGCATTACAATGCCCTTGTTCAATGTTTCCGAATCATGGCAACTTCCAGGTGTGTGGACTTCAACTCCCAGAATTCTTATCAATGGACATTCTGGCTGTGGAATTCTGGGATTTGAAGTCCACACTGGACATTGCTAAGATTGGGAAACACTGCTCTTAGCGATTGAACGCTTTTGAGCTTTGCTGGGAGCTCAAAACTACATAGAGGATGGAACTTGGTTTGGGCGAGTCTTCTTTTCATTTTACTTTGGCCATAACTGTCTTACAAAAGAGGTTGGTGAATTTAGGATTGATTGAAGGTTCAAACCGTCCCAGCCAGTCCCTCACTTCCATCCTACACCAGCAGTTTTTCACTTTATGTGGCCCGTGACTTCATCATCAGAAGATTTTGCAGACTCTCGCATAGGCAATCCCTTTTCAGTGTTTGTTAATTTATCTGAGTGCCTGCTAAAGTCCAACTTGCACATTAAAGAGTTTTAAAGCACTGCTATTTCTATGATTTTTTTAATGGTCCTCCATTAACCAGCTGCCAGCAGGGGAACCTCAGTGAAGCAAATTACACTACAAATAGTAATGTAACATAAATATGAAATGTAAGAGGTCCACACAAGGGGCAGACTACTTGGGGCACATAGGTCGGATTGGAAACCATTTCATTCTCCTGGCTCTCTCCCATTCTTTAGCTGCCCACACATTCACAGTAAATGGTGCACTTATTTCATCCCCAATTGGTGTTGGCCTGGAATCTTTGGATTGCCAGTCCTATGTTTGCATTGGGGAGGGTGTCAAGACAGTGGCCATCACTATATGATCAAAAGCCCACCTCTTTTTTATGTTCAGGGCTTTGATTATATAGTTATGGGCACCATCTTGATTTCTTTTGATCTCCCCCCCAGGCAATGGCCAATGATCAGAGGTTGTAGGAATCCTAATCCATCTGAGGAACTCCAGGCTGGAACACTGGCTCAAAATTATGCACAAAGGTTTGTTGGTTGGGCTGGGACAGCAGGGAATATGAAAATTAGAGCTGTAATTTCTTCTTCATCCATGTGCCTGATGAGGAAAAGATTCCTTACTATCAACAGTGGTCTAACAGAGGAGGAATGAAGGAGAGAAGAGGTCCTGGATTGTTCTTCAGATAGGAATATGGATATCACTTGCTGGAACACCAGAAACCTGATGGTCTTTCCTCTCTCAAGCAATAACTTAATAAGACTTTTCAAACTTTACTATTGTTTTGACAGACTAATACTGAGGAAGTCAAAGAACCAAGAAAATAATTAAGCGGTGGCAGGATACGTCTTCCCCTTTCTAAGACTGAGTTTTTAATTCATGCCTGTGATAAAAAGTTAAGTTCCAGCTGCTTGATGATCTTTTGTTAACTGTGTTTTAACCAACTGACAAGGAATGCAATCAAAATTAAGCACTACAAGTTCAAGGAAGTGGATTCCCAGATAACTATGCCTAAGACTGAAATCATGCTCAGTAAATTTAATGTGAGATTTGCGTTAGGGGCTAACTTTGGATGCCTGTATTTTATGATGGAATTTCTAACCACTATTTGACAAGGAGCTTCTGTAATTCAAAGCTGATCAACAGACCATTGGCTGTTGCATCCATTTGGCCCAGGTCAACTGAAATGAAGAAGTTCTGCACAATTGCCAACTTTACAAATGACAACCTTTTGAATCAACAGTTCAATCCCAAGAATAGAAAATGAGCATGATGTCATGAATGACAGATAATAAGCTAAACTTACTGAATTCTTCTGAAAGATCACTTCCTAGAAAAGAGAAAAGCAGGAAGGCATATTAGAAAGTTGCCCGTTGCAAAATACACTTGGAGATAAACGTTGTGCAGAAGAGGGGATTTCAGCAGCTGTAATGTTATACTAAGGATCCTTTACTGAAGTTAAGTCCTCTGTCCATCAGTTACAAGGGCAGGATTCTCATCTTCTTTATCTACTCTACAAGTTAGCCAAACTAGAGGTAACAATAACACCTGAATAAGAAAAGTGTATGCTGATTGAGAAGGAAGGAATATAATGACCATCTTGCTGGGCAGAGTAGCCTGCCTTGACCAAACCCAGCCTCTGTTGCATTTACAGGGAGTCCCCGGGTTAAGAACGTGTGGGTTACCGACGACCCATAGTTAAGAACGGAGCCTACTGTAGCAAAATTTGAGTTAAATACACATGATTCGAGTTAAATACACAACGGTTTGAGTTCATTACACAATACTACTTATAT